TAGAATGTGACAGAGAAATCATACCCTAGAGGTGACAGAGAAATCATGCCCTAGGGGTGACAGAGAAATCATGCCCTAGGAGTGACAGAGAAATCATACCCTAGAGCTGACAGACAAATCATATCCTAGAGGTGACAGAGAAAACATACCATAGGGGGTAACAGAATAATCATGCCCTAGGGGTGACAGAGAAATCATACCCTAGAGCTGACAGACAAATCATATCCTAGAGGTGACAGAGAAAACATACCATAGGGGGTAACAGAATAATCATGCCCTAGGGGTGACAGAGAAATCATACCCTAGAGGATGACAGAGAAATCATATCCTTTGGAGTTACAGAGAAATCATACCCTAGAGAGTGACAGAGAAATCATACCATAGGGGGTAACAGAAAAATCATGCCCTAGGAGTGACAGAGAAATTGTTCCCTAGAGGTGACAGAGAAATCATACCATAGGGGGTAACAGAAAAATCATGCTCTAGGAGTGACAGAGAAATTGTTCCCTAGAGGTGACAGAGAAATCATACCCTAGAGGTGACAGAGAAATCATACTAAAGTGGTGACAGAGAAATCATACCCTAGAGGTGACAGAAAAGTCATACACAAGAGGGTGACAGAGAAGTCATACCCTTGAGGGTGAAAGAGAAGTCATACCATAGAGGGTGACAGAGAAATCATACCCTAGAGGTGACAGAAAAGTCATACACAAGAGGGTGACAGAGAAGTCATACCCTAGAGGGTGACAGAGAAATCATACCCTAGAGGTGACAGAGAAATCATACCATAGGGGGTAACAGAAAAATCATGCTCTAGGAGTGACAGAGAAATTGTTCCCTAGAGGGGACAGAGAAATCATACCCTAGAGGTGACAGAGAAATCATACTAAAGTGGTGACAGAGAAATCATACCCTAGAGGTGACAGAAAAGTCATACACAAGAGGGTGACAGAGAAGTCATACCCTAGAGGGTGACAGAGAAATCATACCCTAGAGGTGACAGAGAAATCATACCATAGGGGGTAACAGAAAAATCATGCTCTAGGAGTGACAGAGAAATTGTTCCCTAGAGGGGACAGAGAAATCATACCCTAGAGGTGACAGAGAAATCATACTAAAGTGGTGACAGAGAAATCATACCCTAGAGGTGACAGAAAAGTCATACACAAGAGGGTGACAGAGAAGTCATACCCTAGAGGGTGACAGAGAAATCATACCCTAGAGGTGACAGAGAAATCATACCATAGGGGGTAACAGAAAAATCATGCTCTAGGAGTGACAGAGAAATTGTTCCCTAGAGGGGACAGAGAAATCATACCCTAGAGGTGACAGAGAAATCATACTAAAGTGGTGACAGAGAAATCATACCCTAGAGGTGACAGAAAAGTCATACACAAGAGGGTGACAGAGAAGTCATACCCTTGAGGGTGAAAGAGAAGTCATACCATAGAGGGTGACAGAGAAATCATACCCTAGAGGTGACAGAGAAGTCATACACAAAAGGGTTACAGAGAAGTCATACCCTAGAGGGTGACAGGGAGGTCATACCCTAGAGGTGACAGAGAAGTCATACACAAAAGGGTGACAGAGAAGTCATACCCTAGAGGGTGACAGAGAAATCATACCCTAGAGGTGACAGAGAAGTCATACCTTATAATGTGACAGAGAAATCATACCCTAGAGGTGACAGAGAAATCATAACCTAGGGGTGACAGAGAAATCTTACTCTAAATATTTCAATTTGTATTCATGCTGGACTCAATGAAACTGCCAAATCGAATTTGAATATGGATATTCCCATTTTAGAACGTATTTCTCAATGGGCTCGAGACTTACGTGGGGCAGTAGCCAGGTACTTTCCGTAGGTCGGTGTTTTTTCTCCGGGAACTCCGGCTTCCCTCTACCACCAAAACCTGGCACGTCCTTAAATTACCATAGCTGTTAATGGGACGTAAAACACAAACAACCAATTATATATGATAAACAGTTAATCACACAATGTTTTCACGGTTTGACGATCGAATGTGGATAAATAGATTTCGAATTTTCAATTATTGAGCGTGTTAATTGAAATATAAGGACTGAAACTTGCTTTGGCCACTATAAAGGGGTGATGAATTGACTTGGTCTTTAGACTGACCTAATGAACTGCGAAAGTAAGTGATCCTCATCTCCAAGTCTATATAACATATTAATACAGGACCCTCGTACAACTACCAAAAAGGGTAACCATGCAAAACTATAGTCTGGAAAATGAAATCTGAAATGAAATTACGCGACTTTCAAAAAATGTAACAGCAGTTTTCTGAGACTAAACATATAATGGTGCTTAACACAGAACGAACCTTGGACCTTAAATCGTTAAAATGATATAATACTAAAATCATAATTACAAGTCACTCTACCGTTACATTGAAAATCCAAATCGAAATTAAGGTGAGGTTACTGTACAAAGATTTCTCTATCGTGTGGCCTAAATTTGGAACAAGGATAATTTTAAGATGAACATTCGTTTTCCACGTGTTAACGCCATATTCCCTCTCTTATTGTGATTCTGTTCCAGTGCATATTGACATTGCTGAAATGCTAAACCATAAGTTGATTATCTATAATTAAGTTGCGATATCGTTGTATTTTAATTAAACACGAGATTGATCCTTCCTGTATATAGAAACGCAGTCGCCAAAAGGATAATGAGATTTGTGAAAATAGCATTCACCGATTTGATGTCCAATATGTTGTAAAAAAATCAATCTGCATTGATCTTATCAATTAAAAAAATGCGACATTACGTCTGTTGACCGGCTGACGGAGCATATCAATCGGGAACTATCGGCACTTTCCGCAAACGAGAACGCATTTCTCGTAATGTTCAAAGTGCATTGATCTTTTATCAATCTAAAAATTGCGATATTTTGTCTGTAGACCGGCTGACGGAGCGTATCAATCGGGAACTGTCGGCACTTTCCGTAAACGAGAAAGTATTTCTCGTAAATGTTCCAAGTGACTTATTAAATTATTAAGAACACAGACACGTGACCACCGCCGTCAGCGATGTCGAGGCTAATAAGATGAAATTCTAGCCCGGAGATGGCCCCTATAGTTCAAATTAAGATCCCCGTCACATTCATTGCTGTATTCATTTAGAGCCATTCTGTAACAAAATTGTCGTACTTAAAATCCCCTCTGAAGAATTGTTGTAATCAAATGCATCGAACTGATGAAAATGAAATGTAACGTAGTTTCTAGTATATTGCTCAGGAAAAAGTAATGGGGCAGCGATGGCCTAGTGGATAAGGCGTTTGTCATCCTGCAACCACCGGCCCTCCACCTCTGGTTCGCGGGATCGAGGCTTCCGTGGGGCAGTCGCCCTACCTTTTCACGTCTGATTGGGGAATCGAACCCCGGCCGCCTTGCTGAACGGTATGTGCGTTCTCTACTTCGCCATCCGACCACTCCGTTTTCAATACAAGAAGTTTGGTGAATGTTAATGCAACGGAAGAGAATTGATCTTATCAAAGGGGCTTAACTCTGTATAACATTGGACACACAACCGTATATAAGCATACAAACTCAGCCTATATATATTTCCAAAATGAGAAAATCCAATCTCAAGTTGTTTTGAAGTCGTTCTCAACTTTTGACTGGAGTATTCTCATACTGACAACCCGTTATAATCCATTTATTATACTACTGTTGGGTGGTATATTGTACATGTAGTGTACAGATGGTAACACAAGTTGTTGGGTTGGGTTCACGATTTTTGCAGAGATATGTGAATATGTTTACTAAAGTATGTGGAATTATTTGATTATCTGAAAAGAAAAAATGGTTGAAAGAGTCGTTTTTTTCATTGATAACGCTTTTGGAAAACCCTTTCCTCTATTTTTATCTTGCGGAATGACAGACAAATATAAAAGCCAACTGCCTACGTGGCTTGTTCGCAATAACAAATGATTTTCTTCTGTATTAAATAACAGAACAGTTGCTATGAACACAAAATGCAACAAAAAATGATCAGATTCAGAGGAAATATTATATATTCGAGGAACCTTAGAATTAGAAGTCCATTTTTTCTGGGAATATCAGCTATCCATCGAATCCTTTGACAGATCCTACTGTAACGCCTTCTTTAGTTACAGTTTGCTATGTATTCAGGTTCATAAACCATAACCAGCAAAATATGTATTTGTGACGTTTTGAATCGAGATGAGGGGGCTCATAGATTCTCGCACACCTATGACAAGGGCCGCTTTCGTTTATCGCGATCCAAACGGTTGATCCGGGGATCCGGTTGGATCAGAGTTGTTCGTTTATATGAAATAATGTCGGACCTAGTAATCTGATGGTGTTTTCAGACGAGCCACGATAAAGACTTGTAAGGCCTGTGTAATCATTTGCAGGTCCGCCAGGGTTTATACCAAAACAAATGTTACATTTAAAAACAGACAAACCGGTTGTTACGCATAAACGAGCAGACCCCATCTGTTGAACAAAATGTTTTGATAATCATTTCGTGTGTTTAGAAATACTTCATCTTGGCATACCATCCCTAAATAATCTATATGACTTCCTACCAGATGTCAAATCAGTCCTACAACCCCTCAGAAATACAAAGAGCTTTAGAAACGCCATCCACCATTCATGAGAACACACATTACATCTCCAGCACACACGCAGGCATACACACATAGGGAGATATTAGCCAGGTGGCATATGACTAGTAGTTAGCGCCTGATAAGCCAGCTCCTGCGATTTCCTCAAAAATGGTATTGATTAATGTATATGCTAGTTGTATTAATTGTATGTAAATATTATTGTAAAGCGCTGTAGAGTGGCTAATATTAACTTATTATTATGATGATGTTTCCGACACCGAAGCGTTGCTGTGTTTGTAATAATCTTTCATGTACATCGGAGGTGCTGTTTTTAGCTTGTTATAGTTCAGAAAAAATTGCTTGTATCTAGATCTGAATTGCTCGTATCTAATATGATTTCAGAATTTCGGACGAAGGCGAAAAGAAGATCAACCCAACCAGCAAGCAAGCTCACAAAAGGTAGATACATCAAATTGTAGTGATATCGGTGTTATCGTCATTGTGCCTGTTTTAGAATCACTATTATCATATAATCTCTACAACCAGATATATCTTCTATATATATCTTGACGGCATTTTCATCAATTGAATGAAACATTGATCATCTATTTTAAGTGTGCATTTTACAGTAATTAACTGTGTAGAGCACAGAACTAATGACGTAATGAACTGTTTAAATCGCATAACTGATGACGTAATTACCCGGTTAGAACGCAGAACTAATGACGTAATACACACTATGACGCAGGTAAGAGATACAGCAAGCCAAAAATGAATTAAACTGCATCATACTGCTAAGTTACTTTATAAAAGCTAATGTGTTATATACAACGTCCTATTAAACCCTACAAAAATCTGCAGAGATACATAATATGTCATTCTGACGTAGTCCTAGTTAATTAATTAAAAACCAATTAAAGAGTTGTCAGTGTAAGGCCGTATTAATCATTGTAGGAACAACAGTCCCCGGGTTCAAAGAAAATGAGAGAAGGTAAGTATACATTATCGTCCTCTCACTTTCTGTTAACCCTCATACCATCACTTATTGATCTCAGACTCACAATCTCACCACTCACACGCTTTCCCACACTCCAGTCCTCTCTTCCTCCCGTCCTCTTGTCCTCTCTTCCTCTCTTCCTCGTTCCCTCTCATTGTCGCTACCTCTCATCCTCGTTCATCCTCGCTCCCTCTCTTCCTTTAACTCGTCCCCCATCGTACCCTGGACGCCTGTGGTTCTTTAACTCTGATTCTCTGAAGTCTTTCGCAATTACACTCTCACTTCACGACTTCTTCTAAACCACAAATCCTTACACTCTTATTTAGTGATAATAATAATAATAATTCAAGGTTCTTATATACCGCTTTATCACAACCTAGTTCGTAGGTCGTCTCAAAGTGGTTCACAAATTATTATCCGTGGTTATAGGGCATTTGCAACCAGAAAATACCTTTCTCAACTCCCTGGGGAGCATACAGCCGGAGCTGCCATTTCGGCGCTCAAAGCTAGCATTTAACAGTTCTAGGCACTGCCCAACCACGTACTCATTTACAGCTGAGTAGAAAAGATACAACACAGTGCCGTGACGTGACTCGAAACCGCAACCCTCCGGTCACGAGCCCTGCGTCCTACCACTTTATTTTCACTAAATCCTTGACTACCACATGCCTACACGGCCACTCGAAGCCCTTCTCGCTCTCTCACATCCTTATATTCGCATACGTTGCACCGTCACACTTAAAGTCAGAACATTGTTTCTTCAGACTAGATTCTCTTCCATTCCACTCCTTTGTGTACATATATATGATAGCGATACACACCAATTAATTTCGGGTTTATATTCTTTCTCACTTGAAAAAGGTCGCAGGGGGTCGTGGGTTCGATCCCCGCTGGGAGCACACTACTCTGTTTCCAGTTACAAATGGTGTCCGTGCCCTCCCTGTTGTGACTGGGAGTTAGAACCTGGGTTGTTGTGGTGATAGAGGGCCAACACAGTTAAAAAAGTGGGAGTCAGTAGTGTGATAGCTTGTAAATATACATATGATAATAATACATATAATAATAATAATTCGAGGTTTTGATATGCCGCTTTATCACAATCTAGTTCGTAGGTCGTCCCAAAGTAGTTCATAAATTATTATCAATGGTTATAGGTGCTTTGCAACCCGCCAATATTTTTCTCAACTCCCTGGGGAACATACAGTCGGTGCTGCCATTTCGGCGCTCACAGCTAGCATTCAACAATTCTAGCTCTGCCCAACTAAGCACTCATTTACAGCTGAGTAGACTAGAACAAGCGGAGTGAAGTATCTTGCTCGAAGATACAACACAGTGACGTGCCGTTACTACTCGAACCCGCAACCCTTCAGTCATGAGCCCGGCGTCCTACCACTCGACTACCGTGCCTCCTATAATTACGGTCGCCTGCTAGTTAGGTGCTAGACGAAATTTCCCTTTAGCTCATGATTCAATTTGTAGAGCGGTAGGCCGAGAAGCTGGAGTCGTAGGTTCGATCCCCAGTGGAAGCACACTATTGTTTTTCCTGTTACAGTAGCATTCACGATCAGTATACCACTCCTATAAAAACGAGATCGTTTAAAATTATTTGAAAAAGATGCTTAAGAATATGCCTCTCGATTGATCAAGGTGTGATATTCAAGTTTAAGTAAAATGATTGACCCTGATAACGTAGATATTGCGTCCAGTTTTGTCTGCAGAAAATCGATCGACTCACGTGATCATTATATAAGCTCTTTGCAACATTGTCATTTAGACTATAAAGGAACCTCTGGCAGGAGTCTGGCAAGATGGCTCCCAGCTATGTAACGTTTTTCACGTGTAATCATCGAAATAAACCCGATGACATGTCTCCATTGCTGTTATGTTATAACGACATGCTTACAATTCAAGTCACCAGGGGGAAAAAATGGCTACTACAACAGAGGAAATACTCGCATGTGGAAATGTTTCGCTTTTGACTCTTTTAAACGATCACCATGTAGAAATTTTCGCATCGGCAGTGACGTTGAAACAGATTTCTTCTATACATCTGTGTGACATTATATATATTGAGTGAATGAATATCCGCTTTGTGGATTTATTCGCACTTAATGCTCAACATGGAATATGCGAACATTTAAACACCGCGAAAATGTCCGCGTTTACGGTATGTTGGCTAATCTGAAATTTATAATCAGTAACTTAAAATATATCCTGTCCTTCCGCAGAATGTGATTTGTCTTGATTTGAAGAAAATCGACTTAGTTTAAACATATTTATTGCCAAACGTAGACAATGGATTAGGCACAAGTTATAACAACTTATCAACGCCTTCTCCCAATATACATTTTAAATGACAATCCAATAATAAGTTATGCAAATTATCTAAAGATGTTTGTGTGAAGGTCCACGGAAAATTGTGAATTGCAAAAAAAGAAAAAAAATCTAAATTTAACGCTACATTCAAATTATTTAAATTTGAACCAGAGAATACGTCTTTCGTTTGTAAATAGGTGAAATTCCAAAAAGAAGTGTGTAAGACATTCTCACAAAGATGACCACAATTACAAGCTGCACGTTCGACAAGGTTAACTCTAGAGAGGTCATAATTAAGGGAACTGCACTAGTGAAAATCGACTAAAAGATGCAGTGCCTTATTTTGGTATAACATAACTGTATAACTTTACTTTATTGACAGAAAAGACGTGAAATATCGTCTGAAAGATGTAACATTATAATAAACCTTTCTAATCATTAGTACAATGAACCCGAATACAATTCTGGGTAATGTTAGTCTCGTTCAACCAGACGCTTGATCACTTGTAATTCTCTATTCGGCGTAGCTTGCGCAGGCAACAAGAGTCTGGTTGAACGAGACTAGGTACATGTCTGTATTTACCGGAAGTTGCCTTTATGTCATAAAATTCCGGATACAATAACCATTACATCCCGTTCTATGAGGTATATAGATAAAGGTCATCACCGTATTTCAGAAGGTTAGCTACATGTACCAGCCATTTAGAAGATTACATATTCACGTAGAATTAATGTTGTATGGGTTCGTGCTAATAAAATCGATCCGTAGACATTTTTCTATTGTGTACTATATTGCATGTAAGAACAATCGATGATGTAAGCCATTGTTATTATGTACAGTTGATCAACACAATGAGAAGCTAAGTGACCTTGATATTTAATGATGATTGTGAACATGAATATTACGTAAAAGGTAATGTCCGATTGATCGTCATAAGTCGGGGCTCCGCGAATGGGTTATAATTTTTAAGGAATGGGTAGTTCTGTACCGTTTCGTGTAATGTTTTAAAACGTGATAAATTTTAAACATGCGACGTCATAAATTGAAAATTAATCATCAAAAGAAAAAAAACCAGACATCGCATTACAAAAAAAACACAGGTTTAAGCAACCTTTCTGTTAATCATTTTTCAGACGCTTTCAGTCCAATTATACATGTAATGTACATTCTCTTTACCCAGTTCTATCCAAATAGGTTCTTGGTAAATGCACGGTATTTAGATATTCTACAATATTTTTGTTACGTTCGCAATGAAAGTATCAATTCTTACAAAATTACTTGGTAAGAGATGGTTTAAAAAGAGTCAATAATTATGTAGGTATAGAGGGATAGAGAAATTCTACTCTTGGTGTATAATTTGAGATCAGAACTTTGGCAAAGCCTCGGTTCTGATCCGAAATCTACACCATCGAGTAGGACTCTCCTATCCCACATACTTAATTCATTATTTCCTTTTGTTCATTAATCTCATATATTGCGAAGAATATAATGCGGAACAAGGAGTATTTGGAATGATCCCGAATCCTTATCGCGATATCTACCATACCGTTAATCCCTTATCGCGATACATATCATATCGTAAATCATTTACCGCGATACATATCGTATCGTAAATAATTTATCGCAATACATACCGTATCGTACATCCTTTATCATAAACGTATCGTACCTTCAATAATTTATCACGATACATACCGTATCGTAAATCATTTATCGCGATACATATCGCATCGTAAAATATGATCACGATACAATACTATATGGTTAATCCTTTATCACAATACAAATCATATCTTAAATCACTTATCACGATGTGTATCGTATTGTAAATAATTTATCACTATTCAAATAATATCGCGAAACCCTTCTCGCAACTAGTACTCATATACCATCGTGAAAGACATGTTACAATACGTATCGTATCGGGTTCTCAATGCCTCAATCTTAAGTGGGGAGGGCAATGGGTTCTGTATACAGCCTGGGACATACCAAATCTCTTAAAATGGTAATTGTTATTCCATGCGTAACGTTTAACCTTTAGGATAATGGCAACACCTGATTAAGTCGTTGTCAGTATTTTGTGACACGGTGGAATATTGTGCTGGGTGCGTTCGACATGGTAGTGAGGCAGAACTTCATCGCAAACAAAGCAAAACACCAATACATACACTCATGCGCGCATACAGAACATACATGGAGGCAGGTCCTTAAAATTACCTTAGCCATTAATAGGACATCATTAAACTACATAACAAAAGACCAAAACGTATTTGGATCTTCGTTTCATCTCGAATGCAAGTGTAGACTTGCTAATTTCCAGTCTATATAGGGTCCTTAATCCGAGCTTCCAACAGTTTCCGTTGTTAATGCGAGGCGAGCAAATATAATCATAATAAAATAGTCATTTTCACACTTAATGGGAAACACTTTTATATGTACCAAGCGCGTGTAACCTGAGCTTGTTTTGAACTGTAACATCACGTGGGGATGATAATGAATATTGAACAACCATGAATGAAGGTCACCTCCATTCAAATGACCGGATGTTACCTTGAAAGTGCGTCAAGTTGTCACATTCTGTTTATAAATTACTGATGTTTTCTCGATCGCGCGTGAGGAAACATTAAGGATGACTGTCCCAAACCACCGAAGAATTCCACTGAGGCTTTTCATATAT